AAAAAAAATAGGAAAAAGAAAAACCAAACCATCACTGCTACCACTACCACCACCCCTTCTTCCTTGAGCTGGAATCAGAAAAGAGAGATTGCTTTGACATCTCAATATTTGAAGGACGTCCTCCTTCTTGAATATGACAGAATGTGCAACGACAGCTCGCGACCGTGAAGGATAAAGGGCCATTACACGTCAGCCTCTGAGTCAGAGATGACACCTCAAGGTATCCAGATATCCTCCCTCCTTCATTTTCTTTCTTCCTTCTTTCCCTTCCTCCATCTTTTCCCCAGTCCAAACCACTATCCTTTCCTCATTCCCTTCCTCCATTCTGTCCTCATTCCCTTCCTCCATTCTGTCCTCATTCCCTTCCTCCTTTCATTCCTCATTCTCTTACCCCTTTTTTCTTCATGCCCTCCCTCATTTCTTCCCTAATCCCCTCCCTCCCACTTGCCCATCCTTCCCGCCCCCGTCCTCACCTGGGGCGACACTCTTCACATGCGGGATCTCAGGTAAGTTAATCTCGAAGTTGGTATCGCTGTCAAACACAGTGCATATCAAGGCCTGGAGGTTGGTCTGCACTATGTCAAACTCCGCGCACAACTTCCACAGTCCGAAGTAGCCCACGATGTGCAAATACTTCAAAACTGAGGAAGTAAACAGAACAGTAGTAGCTCACGAGCATATTATAACATGAATAAGGGGCGGAACCTTCGATGAAAGGTCCCGAGCTAAGTTTAGTTTAGTTTTTGTAAAGTTTTGCGGCGCTCGCAACTGCATAATTAAGGTCATATGAGCGCCAAGGGATGGGTGTCAACAGAGAACTCCAAACGGGGAATCAGGTTTATTCTGCTCGCCTCTCTAGCCTCAACAGAACAAAGTCCGCTTCGACTATCAAGGCACACTGGACATAGCAGTTCACAGGAGAGTGACTAACATACAAAAGAAGCAGAGGAAAAATGACGATCGTAAGGATGAGGAAAGAAAAAGCAGCAGTCCCCCTATGTTGTTCCGGCACAGTATGAGCTTGACATTGATAAATCAGCCCATTAATAATTCCACTGTACATAAGAACATGTTAATATCCCCCCTTTGGAAATGGCCTAAAGACACTTCAGTCAGTAGCACTCCTTTGGTGAGAGGGGGGGGGGGAGCTAAGAGAGAGGAGGAATGTCGAACGTTCCCCAACAAAGGCACGTCAAGGACATCCCAGTAGATTCCAAACACGTATGGTTCTCTACAACGTTGCAAGACATGATGGTCGAATGAGGAACCTCCCGAATTGGGGTTGAGGAAAACAGACGAAGCGAGAGAGGGGGGAGGTGACAGAGGGATGGGAGAAAGGAAGGAGAGACAGGGGAGAGGGCGAGGAGACAGACAGGGGGGGGGAGAGGCGGAGGACAGGAGAGACCGAAAGAGATAGGAGAAGGAGGGAAAGAGTGAGAGGTGGAGCGCAAAGAGGAAGGAGAGACAGGGGGAGACATCTAAAAACAGAGAATGATACCGAAAGACAGAGAGGAATAGAGGGAGAAACAGACGTGACAGACAGGAAGAGAGAAATACAGAGAGAGACAGGGAGACAGCACAAGACAGAAAGAAATAGAGAGAGAAACAGGGACTGGCAGACAGACAAAGGGAGACATTATAAAGAAGAATTACTGTTTACTCGCCAATTCCCGCAAATAAGCCAGCCCAGTCCTCTCATCTCGGGACCGCCCTCCCCTCCACCACCCCCCCTTCTCGAC